ATGTCCTTCATAACTAGCAGAACTGCTCAAATGCCCGTGTTATGCATCACAAAACTCGATTCATGATCAAAATATGCAATCAGCGTACTTAACTGATTGTTAACCAAATGTTATCTGCCGATGCGACAATTCGTACTGACGTTCTCCAGACACGAATATTCACATGGGTCATAGAAGTGTATAAATATGGCCATGAAACATCGCCACGGTAATCTTGAACTTGAGCACAATGCGGTCAATGAGGTGAGAAGATTGTGTGGCATTTCTGAAGCATATATGTCTGGGCATCTTCCATTCAGGCGACACGAGGTAGTCGAGACAAGTTCGCAAGCGTCAAGCTCAGAAACAAGGGGATGGATAGTCTTGAAAAGGGCATAGCTGTGAACTAGCAGCGATCGATCTCGAAAATAGCTGTCTCAGCGCAAAACCCCATACAACTGCGGACCAGTTCTTTTTTAAGCCAATGCTAAGTACCTGAAGTTTCATTACGTCCCGGTGTAGATACTGCACCCTTTTCATACAGCAGCAGCGTTGCGCTTGGCGACTGGGACGACGGTGGTGGCCACCGTCGTCCCAGTCGCCCAGCGGTGCGGCTTGTGATCAGGTCCCGTGCTAGTGACGGGGCGGAGCGGCGCTGCTCGAAACTGGGCTCAGACGCCGCTCAGGTATTACCAAACCCAAACATCACCAGCACTCGCAGCAAGGGCACGCTGACGCTGTATGGCGTGTTGCGGCTGCACGCGTCCGTGAAGCTGTGTGGGAGAGGGTGGAGAGGTCAAGCCTCGCTGGCCTCTTTTAACCGAGCCCACTCGCTGTTGGTTACCAGATGCCCACTACCGGTCGTTACCCGAAACCATACGCTATTTGACGCCGCAGCTTCATACGTAAGGAACGCGCTTGTGCTATTGTCCGGCGGCCCGCTCTGATGAGCTGAAAAGGATGTAAAAACGTGGTTTGCTTTAGAACTGCCACTCCCTGTATCTTGAAAGCTCGCACTGACTCGCAGCCCACATTTGAAACCTCCCACAAACCACATGTTTTTTAAGTGCGGCTTTAACCCACGAGCCTAGCTTGAGCATTTTTGGTCAATTTTACATTAAACCCCATTACGCACAAACTAATCTATAACCGATTGGCATTCCTTGATAAGCAACAAAATAGGAATAACCATCAAAGTACATTCATCGAGTCGCATGCATATGGTTAATCCACACCGGCAATGCATTCTATGAACCAGGTCAATATCTGGTTTGGGCACGAAAACATTCTTTCATACAATCATAAATAATTGGCATGAGCTCAGGAAGTCTGTAAACACAGTGCTACAGTTGCCACAGTCCTTAGACAAATGCTACAGACGCAATCTCCTAAACATGATTAAATTATATCAGGTGAGCCAAGATTTGACTTAGATGCAGAGTTCCACTTCCATATATAGAACAATATTGCCTGAAACATTGTGTAGGTACACATCTAAATAAGAAATCAGTCATGCCATAGAAAATATCTCTAGTCTGAAGGTCAATGTCGCAGATGTTAACACATAACCATTAATGAAGGCTGAATCTCGTTTTATGTATCAGACTCGCCAAAAGGCCTCCACACTAAGGGTTGCGACTTGTATCACAGTTGTAATTTTCCTTCCATGTCTTGCCAATTACTGCGTTGGAGGATGACCATAGACGAGTTTACAATTGTTAACATAGTTTCGATGGCTGTGAAACAGAGACTTATCATAGACATGACAGTGTGTCGATAGGGCTATGGTTGACAGCCTTGCCAGCATACCAAGCACGTTAAATGGTCGTCCACGAAAATGGTCGTTAAATATTGTCGGCACAAAAACTTCAATATAAGGCGAATAGATAATTACGTTAATGACACATGAAATTCTGGCTCGTCTGCAAGGAATGAATAAGGTCTGTATGGTATTTAAATTTTAAAACGAGCTAAATTGGTTAAGGATCTTCAGGATTATTTCAGGCATCGGGATGATCGGGTACAGAGATATAACACAGAGTTGAGGACATGCCTGGTTATTTGATCTCAACTTTTTCGGGGACTGATGGCTTTGTCTTTAGTTGCGAAAGGCTTGGCATGTTAACCTTGACACAGCATGTATAAATAAATGCAACCAGAACGTACATATTTTGCTCATTATCTCAAGGTCAGACATGTCGTTTTTCGTGATCTATCTATTCTCATTTCGTATTTGCTGTTTCTGACCATTCCGAGCAACTCTCTGTAGTATTTATGTTTGTTGTGAAAGACATAATGTCATTGAGAGTACACACCATATTGGGCTGTGATAAGCATGATGATGGTTTGAAATGACTGTTGCGAGATTACAAATAATATGCCCCTCCATCACTTAATTCATGGTGTTTTATGTTACCCAGCCATGCGCTTCGTCAAATGGTCGCCTTTGGTGTGCCATTTGAACACCACGTGTTTGATTTGGGGAGATGAATAAGTGGTATTGGCTTGAATTTATTGCTTTGAAAACCCGCAGAGGTCAGTCAACTTGTCATCTGCTACGCGCTAAAACCGGCTTAAAGCCCTGCGGGCCCGCGGGCTCAAAGATGCCACTCTAGCGTGTATGTTTCAGCAATAGCATCTAGCATACGATGCAACATGGGGCGGCTGAGCCAGCTAAAAGTCAAGAATGCATGGGAGTCTGGTATTGTTTACCTTAAGTAAAGAACTGCTTGGGTTCATTCCTAGTTGTTCCAAATTATCGAGCAAAATTAGTTGCGCGACGTTGAAGAAATACTGGCGTTGTCATCCGCCAACTCATGTTTGGCATGTCAGTACTGTGAACTTCAAGCAATGGACCGCTATCCAAGTTGGGCGCGTTTGACCTGTTTGGTTGGGTTGGCTCGAGTCCAATGGGAACCAGCTCACGTACACGCAAAAATAACATAGACACGCCCACACAGACACACACACGCACGCGCACACACGCGCACACACACACGCAAACAAGCGCACACACATGCACACGCACACACATGCACACGCACACACACACACACACACATACATGCACACACATGCATATATATATATATATATATATATATATATATATAAAAATTGTTCTCGTTCATGATTGTCGTTCGCGAAAGCAGGATTTAGAGGACTCCATGGCAATATCATCTATCTGTTGATAAACCTGCCTTGGGGCACCGAAATGGCGCTTCCATGGGCCAACCATTCCTGCTTCAATACATTTATATGTGTGTATCGGCTGTAACATTCCCGACTATGTCACCGAAGTTTTCCCTATCATATAGTCGTCTTTTTTGCTTAACATACTTGCATATTCTGCATGTGTATTGGTACAATACCTCCCTTGCCTAACTTGTTGCCTTTTTCGAGGGGACGCGGCTCACGTTGCTTCACCCCTTTTATGAAGCACCAGCGACTGTCTTGGCCGATTCAGTGTTCTGGGGTCATGGACCGGCCAGGATTCAGCCTGAGGATGGTCTGTGTTGCCTGAGTCCTAGCAAATTAGGCACTACGATTAAGTGACTCCATTTTCGATGGTGTTTTTGTGCAAACATTTCTGCTGCTTTTAATGCTATCGATTGACCACGTTATCCACGAATATCAACATAAGGTAAGAACATATATGTATATATATATATATATATATATATATGTGTGTATATATATGTATATATATATGTATATATATACATACATATATACCTATGTATATATATATATATATATATGTATATATATATGGGTTTTGATCACGCTACACCACAAAATAGAGCGACCTTTGATAACGTCAAAGGCAATGCAAACCGATAGCAAAGATGGCCAATATTTGGAACAGACAACTCCAGGTTCCCACGCATGTGACAAATAGACACAAAGCATCCTTCATTCTGAGCGCTGAAGCCAATAACCCCAGAGCTTCATACTTCCGAGCTAGATGGCTTTGGGTATGGCTAAGTCTTCAAAACGGTTTCTTAAAAAACTGTGATCATGTGCAAGTGTTTGCTGTTTTTATTACGCGTTTGCAAACCTAGAAAGTGTGCCTTTGTTGGGCCCAATCTGTTATTCGCGCACACGTCTTGTGTCGACTTCGTTTCATGAAAGTGACCTGTATTCTTTCTAATGTTCTTCGAGCGTCGCGAGCTTCAGCTTGACGCCCTCGACCACTCCATGACGTTTTAACATTTGCAGCACGACACTGACTTCAATAACAAATAAACAATGAACTAAACGATAAGTCAGTGGTTCCCACATGTCTGCCCTTGTCTTCGAGATGGGCGACGCTGCCCCGTCAGTGCCGAGAGCCAGAAAAACAGCATTAAGCTAACTTCAGAATGTCCACTTTTGTCTCCAGTTGTTCAGTCACGTGGGGTGCGCGCGCCTTAAAGCATGTCTCAAGGCGGTTTGTCAAGGATACACGGCTCTCACCCGCTTGTAATTAGGCGCTGGTTGCAGAAATCCTGTATGCCACTGTGTTAGGCACTTATGGTCAAAGTGCAGCATAATTTATCGTTGGAACGTGACACCAGTACGTTCGCTGTTATGAAAAAGGCTTTAGGCCGAGTGCGTCTTGCTGGAGCGCCGCCTAATTTTCTGCAAGGGTGGTCCGACCTGGCGCTGATCGACCGCAAGATTCTTCGGAGCCTATCTTTGAAACAGAAGGCTGCAGCACGATTCCGCTTTGTACAGCAGGAAAACAATATTTTAAACATGTTCGAACTTGTTCTACTTTGTTCGAGGGCGTTGCAGTTATTTTGCTTGATTGGTTGCGATCTTTCTGGAACAGAGTAACGTACAATGTCCTTAAAATGTAACGTTCCGCATTTCATGAACATAACAAACGTGAACTTTGTAGGCTGCAAAAATATGGGCACACCACAGGTTCAGGCAGGCGCAGGAAAGGCGCAACCAGTTATATTAGCGCAACTATGTATCGCCGCATGCACAGCACACCGCATTCACACGTGCGGAGATGCGCAGCATGGACCCACCGGCGTTGGGTCTTTCTGAGGTTAGCGTTGTCTGCGGCGGTGAGCCTTGGCACGTGCTGAACATCAGTTACACAGTGTAGGTAAACGTTCCGTCTGTACACCATCAGACCAGTTTAGCACTCTCAGCCCTGTAAATCAACAAGTAATTTGCGGTGAGGCGCCTTAAGTCGCCGTTTTGAGTCGGTCTCAGAACGCAAGTCGCTGCGCCTCAAAAACCGGCAGATCTCGTTATGCTACGACAGACCTCGTTGTGCTACGACAGACCTCGTTATGCTACGAAATATATCGTTGTGCTACGAGATATATCGTTATGCTACGAGAGATCTCGTTGTGCTATGAGAGATCTCGTTGTGCTACGAGAGATCTGGCTGTGCTACGAGAGATCTCGTTAAAACTATGCTGGTTACCGAGCCCTAGAGCTCGAAATGAACACCGACCTAAACTTGCATATTTGTATTTGCATAAGTATTGACGTTTCTCCAACGTATTTGTCCCATTTAATGGAAACAACATGAAAGGCAACTCTACCCATGTAATTGGCTGGTATAGCTGTTCCCTTGGACATTGGATACCTTCAGGGACTAAATCCACACGTTCGAAACCAATGCCGTGGCGTGTTCATCAGCTCGCCAGGCGCCGCCGGCTTGGTAATAATTTGTACCTTCCCCATTTAGTTTGGTGACTTGAGCATCCAGGCTGGGGTGGAGGCTTCAGGTCAACGGGGAATCCATTTTATTATCTGGCAAAAATGGAATTCCTGTGTGTATGCAGAACCGCAACTCACCGTGTGCGACGGAAGCACGCCGAATTCTCATCGAATATAAGGCCACTGTTGAATACGCCGCTGTGTCTCTGGGAATAAATGTCACGTTTTTGCTTGTCGTAGGCAGGTCCTTGGAAATCACAACCTTGGTCATTCGTGATGAGAAACTATCTCTGCAGCCGAACTGGCGACGACTGAAACAGCTAACTACTAAATAAATCTCGCCTCGGATTTTTTCAAGCAATCCAAGCAGCTCAAAACGCCCGAAAAGGCAAGCTTGTTGTTTGAGTGACCAGTCTGGATTGTATGTTTCCGACCTAATGTGGTGTAAGTGTCCTGCAGACAATAAGTTCGACGTAGCCGGAGAAAACAGTTTTAATTGTCTGTATATGCAACGGTCCCAGTGGCTGCCATAAGTCAGCTGTCTACAGAATCAATGACGCCAAGCAGTCAGCAGCATGCACAGATGATAGTATCTTTGGTGTAGTTTTGACTAAGTCAGCCGCTCCTGACTATGTAGGTTCTGGGTGACAACCTTGATCATCAACCCGCCGTCCATGGCCACCTCAGCATGGATGTTCGATATCTTGTGATAGTGGCTGTGCAAAACCAGCAGATGCCCAGTGGTTCTGACCATCCATGTCACCACCACTCAATGTTTAAGCAGTGTTGTATCTATGATTATTTGCGAGGCCGCTGTATTGGTGAGTCGTTTGTCCAGGCAAACGCACATAAAAGATGGATACGACGATTAAGACCGGAAATATGGCTTATTTGTGCCGTTTGCAAAGGAGCATGCCAACATGAAACCATGTTTTGGCATCATTCGGATACACACGGTGCACATCCCTGCATCGCTGCGCATTGCTATTTAAGGAATTTGAACCTCTTCCGTGTTTTATATTGTTTTACACAGCAGCATGTGCTACAGAGCAAGAGGGTGCAGTTACTTGATTAGTTGGCTCCGTTGGCACATCCAGATGTTTCAGTTGGTTTTCGTACCAAAACATCACTGTGGTAACTTAAACACGCGCCCGGGTGTAATGGGTCAATTTAACCCAGGAAGTTTTTTACAAAATGAGTTTTGAACGGCGCTGTGTAGCCACGCCAAACCTTGTATAGCTGTCGACAATTGAATAGCGAATATTTTGTGGTGTATATAATGGGATGTACCTTGTAAGGTCGCTGATCTATCACAGTTCAAAATCAGGCCACTGCTGACAGCCACGGACACGGCGAAGGCCATTTCTGGGGAGTCATTCAACCTGATACGACGACGGAGTTTTAGACGAAGCTTTAAACCTCTGGGATAGTGTCTTATGCAACAAAACAATTAATCTTAGGATTGCAGCAAATTCCAATGACCTAGGGTCAGGTGTAAGAGTCATACTGAAACCTAAAAGGTGCTGCTTTTTTACTCGACAGCTTGCTGTATGAACTTTTTCCGGTCCTCATCTCGAGTTCATTAACAACAGAGACCGCAACAGATATTTTCCATAAACTTTTCTAAAGTAAAAAAGGTCAATAACTTGAAAAACTTAATTAAAAATTTTGCTTTTAGGAACATACTGCGTTGCGTAATCCTTGGGACTATTTAAATTCAACTATCAGAACAATCTTGTAAGATCTTGGTCACGATGACCTTTTAAAGGTAAAAGAGTCACTGGCTTCAGACGAACACCAGCGACCTTTTGCTTAGAACAGGTATCTAGGTCCAAGGCGGTTGCATGAGAAAGTCGTGGTGCACTTTGGACACCAATCTGGGGATTGGCCTTGTTTGACCTCAAGTTATCCGACGTTCATAGCGTAGGAGACGTTTTGACACAATGGAGTTCACATACAGGTTGTGTCTTTAGCTTTCTTAATTTTGAGAACTTAGGGGGTCAAATTGACCCCCACCCGAGCGAAGGGTATTCAACTGGCCACCTGTGCGCGTGTCAAATGTGCAATATATTTTTATCCTCGAGGCCGATCGAGGTTCAAAGAAGACCTTCGGGGTGGTACCAATGCCCTCGTCTAATTACCAGGGCTACATTTCGAATGCGACGACGGCGACGTGTCGGGTCGGCTGGTCGCGCTCCACCCGGCGCGCCGCGCGCAGTCCAACGGCCCCACATCTGGGGGGCAGTTACGTATGCCCGCTGGCGCAGTGTCGGCGTCGCCAGGCGTCCCCGGTCTCATCTCGCTTGGAATCCCCGGACGCCAGCTGCCGGACGCCAGCCGCCGGGCGCCTGCCGCGTCCGTGTTCGTGACGGACGTGAGTCGCATTCTGCGACGGCTGCCTGGCGAGCAAAATTTGTTTCCGCCGCGGATTGGTGGACTGCTATGAGCGCTAAGCACTGCGTTTTTGTCAAGGCGGCTTCGAATCGGCCGCTTGGCTACGCGACGAAGTGCGACGCCGAACCCTGGACTTTTAAAGATGCCCATCGTTGCAATGTATTTGAAACGGTGCGAGGTCAAAAGGTTTGCGATGTCTTTTAATAAGTTCCCGGACGTACGTAGCATCAGGCTCCCATCGTGACGCAAAGCTCATGCCGCTGCTCACATCGTCGTGGTTTCACAACGGCTTTTGTCACATGCTTTCTAAAATTCCACCGCTCTGCTCATGGGTAAGGAGTTCGGTCCGGATCCCAGTCCGGTCGGTTAAATCTTCACGCCAGGCTCAAGTTTAGCACGCAGCGTCAAGATCTCTTCTACCTTAATGCTTTGCCAGGGGAAACACAGCGGCGAATATAAATGATGCCATAGGAAGGCTGATACAAGCACAGCTTTCCTTTCAAAGGACCTAAATGGCGCTTGCCGTGCGTATGATTCGGCCGAAAGGCCTAAACAGCGTGGGTCTGTGTATAGACACCACCAGACATCAACATGGGTCGATGCCGTGAGGTCTTGCGTCCGAGTACGAGTGTCACGTGTGTCAGTGTCAGGTGTGTTAGGTGTTTTAGTATCAGGCTCACCCCTGACACAAAGTCTGAGCTCCAGTCGGGGCCCGACTAGCTCACGGCTCACGAGCCTCATCCCGCGCTTGTGTTCTGGATTCTGTCCCCGAATCCTTGCGTCCGGCCCCGGTGCCAAGTCCTTGCGTCCGAGTCCATCACCGTCTTACGCGATCGCACAGAGCTAAGAGAGTTTTCTACCAGACAGACGCCTTGCGTGGCGTGAGACAACCGAGGAGATAAGGAGTCATTGAAACGAGTATTATATTAGAAATGAGAGTTACTAGTTGTTTTTATGTAGGTGACTAGTAAAAAGGCTCACAACCGATGCTATGTTTATATATCACACATATGCTATATATACACACATATACACACACATATATATATATATATATATATATATATATATATATACATATATATATACACACATATATATGTTGAAATATTTTGGCAGAATTCTTTCTTTGATGCATGTTTGATTAAAAATAACTGCTGACTCAGCATTGACGAGCTTTTTGATGCATCGTTCTAGTTTCCGGGCCTTTGACTTTGCGTCATCGCTTAGATTAAAGATGGTTCGCACAAAATTACTCATATATTCATCACTCCTTCCATTCCAACGTTTCGAGATCTTATCTCATCTTCGGAAGAAGACTAAATTGCACAAGAAATAAGTTTTGAGTTTTAAAGGATGAAAAATTGTGCACTACTGTTGGAAAACATCTTTTGGTACGGAGAACATAAATAAAGCATAACTAATTGAAGTAAGACGGATTGCTATTTTCATCTTCATACGTGTAAGAAACACTCATAATGGGAACATCACAAAGACACAATGGGAACACTATTGTCACAATCACATCAGAAGTGCTCACCGCCCACCACCTAGTAGCTCAAGAGTTCTGCAAGAATTTGTCTGTCTGTTTAAGGCCGGAGAGAGTTCGTTAATGAATATGCTTTCCCAACTTTGAAGATATATACAGAAGACGCCTTCAAATTTGGGAAAGCATATTCATTAACGAACTCTCTCCGGCCTTAAACAGACAGACAAATTCTTGCAGAACTCTTGAGCTACTAGGTGGTGGGTGGTGAGCACTTCTGATGTGATTGTGACAATAGTGTTCCCATTGTGTCTTTGTAATGTTCCCATTATGAGTGTTTCTTACATGTATGAAGATGAAAGTAGCAATCCGTCTTACTTCAATTAGTTATGCTTTATTTATGTTCTCCGTACCAAGAGATGTTTTCCAACAGTAGTGCACAATTTTTCATCCTTTAAAACTCAAAACTTATTTCTTGTGCAATTTAGTCTTCTCCGAAAATGAGATAAGATCTCGAAACGTTGGAATGGAAGGAG